TGAATATCAAAACATACATTATATTTTGATGATAAAAACAAACAAAATACATTTGGTACTTACAATTAATAAAAATTGCCGGAAGCTTTCCTCATAGTTGAATTATGTCGTAATTTCGTTTGATACATTATTTAAATGACATGATTAGTAAATTAACTGATGAAGTGGAAGACTCTCTGAATTTAATTTTTATATCATAATTATTATAGGGTAAGGTAAGGTATATCCGACCTAGTAATTTCTTTTGGCTATAAAACACTTACCCGAGGTCGGATATGAACGTTATATACGTTAAATAAAAATTAATATAAAGAAGTAACTTTTTGCATAGTACTTTTTTTATACCATCAATAGATTTTAAGATATCCGTATTTTCAATTAAAGTCAATCATTACCATTTTCAAAAATCGTGGGATAAATCCGACCCCCTATTTTTTTGCCTAAATTTCACAGAAGTAGTTTTAAATGAACAGTTTTTTCCAGGAAATAATTATAATTATATTTGTTAAATTAATGAAAAACATTTATTCGAAAAACAACAATGCTTAGAGTATTAAATACACTAAAAGTTGAATGAATGTAAATTTTAATAGGGCTAATACTTGCCAGGTTCAGATATACCCCATAGGCTATATAGGATATCCCTAGCTAAAGCACCGGAGGCGAGTGATATTCTTAATCTTTTGTACCAATGATAAAGCTGCAGCTAACTTAAAATACACTTACATTACATACACAAAGTTGCCTTTACTAAAGCAACGTAGGCTCTGGGCACGTGAATACAGCAACAACAGACACAGCGAGTCGGCAGGAAACTTGATTTTTAGTAAAATCGATCTAAGTTCTAAGATGAGTTGAAAGAAATTGCAGAATGTTGCCTTTCTTCTCAAAAATTCAAGAGAAAAATTCTTCTCTTTTAGGCTTGAGCAGCGGCTTGGGTTGGGTTCTCCGAATATACCGGTAACGGTATAGGTTTTTCTAACATGCCGATTTAGCTATTTGGGTTTTGACAATATACCAATACAGTGGCTTCGATTTCTCAAACGTGCTGATGCAGTGACAGTCTATTATTAGCTAATAATCATATATTGATAGATCGGAGCGCAATAATTATATGAAAAAAAGAATAGAATACTATAAAGCGCGAATGGCGCGAACAAAAGTTATTATCACAATCATTATTTTTTAATGAGTAAATGCTTTTGTTTTCTTATTTTCAAGTACAAAAATTTGAATTACGTGCTGTAGAAAGGCCTCCTAACCTTAACACTTTATGTTTGAAAAAGAGGTGGAAGAGACTTTTGGAGGGGGGGGGGGTACGCAGGTTATATTCTCACAACTTACCCATTAGTGACTCGTTCCCCCGACTTTATTTACCAGAATGCCAGACTGCGACCATTGGTCGGAAACGCGAAAAAGAATCTCACAATTGCGCCTATGAACTACGACAGTACGGGTTGAGATTACACGATAGCCATCAATAGTGATCCAAAATAACTTCTCAGCTCAGTCTTGTATTTTGTTCTTGTTTTTGTGTCTCGTTCAAGGGTAAAAGTTAATTGAAGCTAGCTATTGTCGACAACTCTTCTCCCAGGATAGGGCACAAGTGATATTCATGAAAACGATAAATTGACTTTTGTCTTTTGGGATTTTACACCATTCATAAAGAAATGTTCGAATGTCCTGGATCCATCTAGGAGATCGCAAAAATCCATACTTTTTAAACACAACCCAGGTCAGATCCGAAAAATATCACGATCATGACTGACTAGCTTCCTATGTTTTATTTCTTTTTAACTACACTATCAGTCTTTCTCTTCTGGAATAGCGGTTAGTTAGTATAGAGAATTCATGTTTCTCTCCTATGGTTGACGATTTACGTTAGTACTTGTTTCATTGTAGAGTCGGCTTAACGTAGTACCACTATATATACACCTAAAGTCTCTGTGTAAAATAATTCACTATCTCTGTCTGTCAGACGCAATCTCATTCGCTTCATTCTGTCAAATTTTCATAGATTTAGTCTCATTTGATCTTTTTGCAGAACTTGCTAGAGCCAAAATAAGCGCGGCTACTTTCGTATCTCGGTCTCGGTGTCGGATGTGCCTTCTGGAGCACTCATTACCGCCAATGTCGCGCGTGTCTGGATATGTGTACTTAGCCTTGTGATAAATGGGTAGTGCAGTGTGAATGTGTGGCGCTCAAAGCTTCATCGTGATGCAGAGCAGCTCGGCCTAACTAATTACCGGCTACCTTCTGATTCAGATGCTCTTCAGACACTGGTGACTACGATACCAGAGATTATGTGCCTGACGGGTGTGTACAGTTGTAAGTGCACGCGTTCATGCTTCTTATCTGGCTTCTTTGCATTTTTCCGCTATTTTTCGCGAGTGCCGGGAACACATAGTCGTAAGTATATGTATGCGTGCGTTTTCGTGGTGTGCATCGAAAGTTTGATAAGTCATCATCTGTTTCTCTCTCTCTCTCTTTCTTTCTCTCTCTCTTTCTATCTCTCTCTATCTTGTACTGGTTGATTCCGCTGTTCTGGTTGTAGTTATCGTCGCTTTGTAACATCGTTTACTCTGGTATAAGTGGTCGAAAAAATAAATAGGTGAGTGTTTAGATTAGGGTGATTCGTGAGATATGGGGTTGGTTTTAGAGCAAAAAAGGGTGGCTGCAACTTTTTCGGAATGTTGTAACTTATGCAATACTGTTATCTTAGTTCTTATAATGCGTAATGCGCAATATTACAAAGTTCGGTTGGCTACTCTTTGCTAATGTAAAAGTAAACAAAAATAATTTTTAAGCAAATAATTTTTTTCTTTAAATTAATACTTGAGATCAAGTGAAGAATTTATCAAGTACTTTACGATGAAAAAAAATTTAATATAAATAATTCAGATAGTGGAAGAATCTTGATTAAATAGAAAACTATTCTAATAAATTACAATCAATTCTATTTATTAATGACAATTAACGATAATAATTCAGCCGTTTTGAGGTGTATTTATGGTTTTATTCAGGCGAAGAGTTAATATTGTAACAAAAGTCAGGCTTCTATAAATCAAGGTTAATCAAATGTTCATGTTTTCGTTGCCACCTGTACATTCTACTTAACTTCATTTGTAGACGTCTGAATTTTGTTACGATATCGATTCTTCGCATGGAAAGAATCGCAGATGGACCTCGTAACGCTTCAAAACATTGCTTGTTATTATATATTGGCTTGTTATTAAAAATTTAAATTAATACAAAGTTATTAGAATTGTTATGTTATTATTAGCACTCTCCATTTTGTTATTAGAATTGTATTTTATTTGATGAACATATGTTCATTATGATAATTATATTATAATGATTTATATAACAGAGTAAAGACAAATTCTATGACTTACTATTTAGTAACAGCTGGCCCCCTTAAATACGTCTTATAAGTGAATGATGTGTTTTATGCTTATTACTCGCTTATTACTCGCTTATTGTTTATGCATGAGAGTGCGTGCATATAATGTTAGACAAAACTGAGCGCATGCATAATCAAGATTGCAGATAGGGCGTATATTTTTGAATCTATTTCTAGCATTCTAGTGACTTTTAGTTGAATTAATGTAGAATTAAATTTTTTTGATATATGATTTATTAAATAATTGTTTTGTAACTGATATATTTATATTCCAATAAAATGACGATTTTTGTTTTAATTATTGTTTAATAAAATATTCTTACAAGATTTATAAAACAAAATTTTGTTATTATTATTGTTACTTTAAAAACTATTTTGAGTCGAGAGTGAAAGTACAATGTGCGTCAACCTAAGCACATTGCAAAACCTAAACGTCCTATATACGCTGTAAAATACATTTTTAACGGAGAATTGTAACGTTGAAAAGAGAGAATCGTTTTTTAAAAAAAATTGTCTGTGACTTATTTACAAATTTACTTGTACGAAGATTTGAGAAGCAAAATTGCTCCGACCTAGCAATCTGCTGGGCACGCAGGTTGAGATGTTCGCGCACGAGAAAGCCTGGGATGGGAAAGAGAGGATAACACGGACATAAAAGTATGCCGGTAAATTAAGGAACAAAAAACTTGAATTATCGGTTCAACAATAAAAAAATACAAAAATGAAACAAAAGAAAAATATCAGTTAATAACGTGGCATTATTCGAATTATTCGCATTATCGAATTCCGAAATGGCATCCTTCGAGAAGCGCTCAGCCTGTACAAATACTTGCTAGCATCACAGTAATGCCCGTAGAAGTCGTACACGCGCACTGTTACGGAGAAGAGAAACAGAAAGAGAGTTTATGCTGCTGCTGTTATTATCGCGTTTGCAGTTCTTTCTATTGTTATTCCTGCTGTCCCTTCTTTGTATTTCGAGGCGGTGGTGTCAGCTGGTGTGGCACCATCGGAACCGCTGCGAAAACCGATGCAACCTAGTTCCCCAAACCTTCCAAAAACAATTACCGGAAATAACGCAGCGGTTCACGGTGCTGAAGGAGTTCGTACTGCTCTCTCATTGTCACACAAGCATCCTCCCTAGGAGTGTGTAAATATCCGGCCGGACGTTCGCACGCTCACTGCGCTGACTTTTTGATGACCGCCTACGGGTACGCTCTCCTGCGCACACGTTGAGCTGCATCATCGTCTCTATCTTCAACTTTCTATTTCTCCACTTCCCATCTCTCTTTACACATCTTCGCTTTCACGGCTCGCCAAAATCCGTTCCGCTCCTCACTCTTAGCTTCTTTCATCCGAACTTCAAACAAACAGATCGGACATGAGCGATACAGTTACGTACATACATATACGTCTAGTCTGATGAGGACACCCACGTAAATACCGAGACAACAAACGACGTAGAAATTGCTAACAAAGCGTTTTTCTCTATTACAATTTTGAACATGATACAACTATGGCATATATTTTTAAATGAAATAACATCTTTCTTTGGTAATAAAAAATTATTTCTTATGTATTTGTATTTCTTTCGTTGCAGTGAAATTAATGACCTCAATACTGGTCTATTGATCGAAGTTTGGTCGAAAGGTATGCTATGGGACCGAGCTCTGGGTTATCATTACATGATACTTCCAAAAGTATCTTACTCCAATGAGGTAACAATTATAATCTTTACCAGATCGCTTAAAAGCAATTCATCCACTTATATGTTCATTGTCATGCTTTGTTATTTTTACATTCTTGGTTAAATTAATAATTTAAATTCATGGAGTCGATATTATAATTTATAATTAATACAAATTCTATGGGTAGGTAAAGACTTTACAATAATTTCTACAAATATCTAAATATCCGTAACGTAGAGATAACTAAAGCGTAAAATAACATCATAGGCGAAGCTGAAATGATTATTTCTCTACTGGACTTGAGGGACAGTTTCAAAAAGAATCTACAGGCTTTACTTGCGAAGATGCTGTTCGATACAATATTACATATTCTAGTAAAGTTTTTTGTGTGAAACAGCCCTCCAGCAGAGCAAAACCACTTTCTAAACGAGATACGTAGTCTTATGAGATTCATTCCAGCGATTCCAATCTTCCATCACTTCAAGTATCGTCACAAAACCCTGAAGATACGTTCACTTGTCTTTATGAGGATAGACAGTGTATAAAAGGCTGTTCAACCACTCTACTCCGGTACCTAAAAGGACTGCCCGCATTTGGATAATAAGGTCTTCGTAAATTTAGTCAATGGCGTGGAGAAATGGCGTATCCATGGTTATAGCTCCGTGAATGGTCTCAAGCCTGCTTTCCTCAACGATGCCGAGATCTTCGATTCTCCGTCTTTAAACATGGCCTCGGATTTAGTCTTCAACAGTAGAGAAAGACCGGTCGATCTACGCATCGACGGAACAGTCGACCCTTCACTAAATCTTGTTAACTGCGATATTGGCCAACTGAATGAAAACTAAATGAGTCTCTCAAAAATCCTTTGTTCGATTTAATGTTCAAAAAAATGTAACATACAAAATTTCATCAAAATGTTACAACAGAAGAGAAAATATAATTTTCACTGTTAATCACCAGCTAACCTCCTTAAAAACATTTTTTTATAAATATTCTGATAAGAAAAACTTTGTCAGTATCGACTCCATAGTCAAAATTCGTATTTGGGATATTTCACGGTTACATGGAATACTTTCAGATTCGACTACTTCAGATTTTTTCTAAAATTTTTCTCTCAAAATAGTTACTAAAAATAGACGTTTCCAGCCCTTTTTATTAAATAGTTTATAAAATTTTATAAAAATAGTGTTTATTATAAAAAACACTATTTTTATACACGCACTAATCTATGCAATCCTAATAAAATTTGTTATTCTCAATTTCTTTTCGTTTCATTTTTATATATTAACTTTAAATTTGTTTTAAATGAATTTAAATGTCATTTTCGACGTAGAACTTCTCATAGATTTCGAAAAAAAAATAGCAGTTTTTATATTAGAAATGTTTAAAGGCTTCAAAAGCAAAAAAAAACATTCGAAAAATATAACAATATGATTTTCACCCTTTTTTAACATTTTTTATACTTTTTTTTTTAAAACACGATAAATTTTATATAGAAAATAGTTATAAAAATAGAGTTGGTAACATTTTTCTAAATGTTATAATTAAATTACAGAAAATGAGTTTTTCTTACAATAAAGCAGAAAATTAGAATTAGTACAATATTACAAAAAAAGCAATCAATCAATGGATTTTTATGAATAGAAAATTTTTGTTTCTATTAAAAACTTTAGAATCATTTAAAACTGAGTTTTTGTTCTTATTTTTAATGTCAAGTCTACTTCTAGTATAAATATATGAAACTCAAGTGTACTCGTAGCTTTAATTGATCTGAGATAACTAAATCTTTCTTCCGACAATGAACCAGTTTTCATGTAATCATCTGCAACGGTAGTCGATTCGATTAATCGATACGTTCGCGATTCGGTAGCAATCGCGATGCTAGATCGAACGTCTAAGAGAGAGAGAGATTTGAGAGAGAGAGGGGGCGCGTGAAGGTTTAATTTTTCAGTTAAGCCTCAGCTGCTGTTCGGGAAACCGACAAAATTTTCTACTGTGTTTTTGCCGTTTTCCGATCCAGAAAATTTATTGGTTTTGTACGTGCGTGAGTGGCAAATAGGTGCAGTAGAGATAAGCAGTAGAAAAACTCTGCAGCAGCGAACAGCCGCATCACGTGCAACAGTCACCGATCATCGTGACTGAGGTAACGCAGCCAGTTCCACAGGAGCATCAGTTATTTTGCTGATCAATAATTACATCTGATCACCGTAATTGCACCGCAGGGTAGGTGCACCTCCCTTTTTCTGTGCGACAAAATACTTGCGAAAGTATTTTGTCAATCGCGACCGTTTGTGTCTTCGTGCCGAGCTTTAGTTTTCGTGGTAGAATTTTGAATTCTCTATCTCTCTCTCTCCCCGTATTATTGGAAAATTGTAAATCCTATACGCGTGCGCAACTCTTTCGGGACAACGAAGATTGCAGTTTTTTTAGTGATAAACGATTTTAATTTTATTCGCCGCATTACGTTATTTCGCTTCCTTTTAGTTTCACGGATCCGTCACCGGTTATTGTTTTAAACCGATTTCATCTAGGGAATAGTTGGAGTAAATATTAGATCACTCACACCTACGATAAATCGAGTGTCCCAAGTCAGGTGACTTAAGGTGAGTTCAACTCTATTGGAAAAGGAGATATTGGAACGAAAATATCAAACGTAAAGGCGAATAGACGTATACTCATACGTGATTAACGGTTAGCTCTGCATCGTGGGAGTTTGTTCTTCAATAAACCCAATTTGTACCAGCTAATTCACTCCATTACACATCATTGCTGTAATTCCCATTTACTTCAACCTATTTACAAAAATCGAAAGCATTTAAAATATTTTTTTTAAATTTAAATTGTAGACATAATTTTCGAGCTTAACTTTTTACCATTCCACGGTGCTTTCCCATCAGCTGTTCTAAAAAGTGCTATTTAGCATTGTTTCAAAAATCTTTATCATGTAGACATAAATTCTTGAAGTTATTTTATTCTTAAAATGTTTAGGTGAGGTTCATCTTTCAAAATAATATAAAAATTAACAAAAATTTAGGAAAAAAGATAAAAAATACATTTTAAATACTTTTTTTCGTTTTTGTCGTTTTTTAATCATTTCTGATATAAAAATTAATATTTTTTCCGATAACCATAAAATGTTATACGTTGGAAATGAAATATTAATTTTTTTCAAACAAATTTGAAGCCGATATTTAGAGATGATATCTTCGACATGTTTGATTACCAAGTCGTGCAACGCATCGAGTCTTGCCATATGCTCGGTCCAATATTTTATTAATGAGCGGATAATCAGTCTCGACTTCGCACCACAGACTTCTGCTAAGGCTCGCGACCGAAATTCAAAAGCACTAGAGAGATTCTCGTGCTCGCCTAAATCGTTGTAGTCATGGCTTGCCTGAATTAGTGTAAATGCTTATCTCAGTTTCTGTGATCCTGTTCCACGAGAATCGCTATTAACAGTTTAAGCGTTTTAATTGCTCACTCGGCAAAATTCGCCTGCTGATATATGGTGGACCGAGAACATATTCAATCTTGTACTTGTCTAGTTTCGCTCGGAACTCATTCCCACGAAAATTCTTTTCGTTGTCTATCACTATATATTTCGGTATTCCTCATCTATATAGTATGCACTCTTAACGAGCTTGTGCGAGCGTTTTCCCTGGAGCCAGCGCAAGAGGCTTAAAGTCTATGTATTTCGTAAATAAATCCTGAAATATTACAAGATATTCAAATTAATTAACACACGAGCGCTCGAATTCCATTATACATGTCATGAACCATGTCGTTCCATGAGTATTCCGTCGCAATCCTGTCATACATATTATCCTGCCGATGGCTCTTAGTGCTCATCTCACACTTCTTATTTCAATTCACCTGACTTTCTATATAACGACTCCATCGGTGTTACTCCGACTGATACCTGACCACTTAGTACCATGAACTCCCTTGAGGAGGTGGTGGACAACAACATATCGTCTACACCGTCAGGGTCGTCAATTTGTGGTATCATTGTCTTCTGCAATGGTTTCGCGGTCCGAGCATGTTTCAAAGCCTGCAACGCGCGCATGTTATTTTTTCCAGTACTGATTAAGGATCGTATGGTCTTTGTAGTCTCAGTAGAGTTGCCGTCCTCTTTATCTGCCCCATACGCTCTCCTCAACTCCTCATCCATCGAGTTACGCCTGGACAACAGACAACTTTGAATATTTCCTTTTTATATTTTCTTATTTTCCCATTTTTCACGTACGTACTCTACCTGTTTGCGTTCAGGATCAGCCTCACATAATTTCAACCATCATTTATTACATTCGACCTAATCGAACTTTTTCCACGAACTTCCATTACTTTTAATATTCGCATAGTCGCATAGCACCAGGGCATCGGCTTGAACGTCACTCGTACTAGATCGACGTACTGTTGCCCATCTTGATGAACTCCCACTTGTGCTTTGAGTTCAGAAAATTCACTATAAAACAGCCATATAAACGCGACTTTTCCTTTGTAAGGTGGCTTAGAATGCGAATTTATGCGAAACCCTTACCTTAACTCCCAAATATTATATAATTGTTGTTTCGTATTATAACGGGGACAGCGTTAGTGTCGTTCACTTTAGCTGTCGCCGTCAAAAAGTAATATATTTTTAATACTGTGAAAGCAAGGAACAATATCGCAATCGGTGGTTGAAGCAGGTCTCGACGTGGTTCGACTGAAATCCGACTCGATAGCACAATTATACCGTCAATGGAGCGGTCCAGCTTCTAGGTCTACAAAAAGCGTCGTGTGTCTAAGCTTTGTAACTAAAAACGCAAAAGAAAAATGAGGCATAATGCGTGGTCACGATGGAACAGAGGGAAAAGATGTGAGCATGAAATTTCTCCAAGAATACCAGTAAATAATCTCGAAGAATTTCGATGAGCTGAATACCAATTCGTCCTAGAAATTGCTCTATCACCTCTCACTTTTGAGATACTGTAACCTAAATGTACAAAGACATGTTTTTTTGTCTATATTTGAGCTTGTCTATTTGATTA